AGCGCCAACTACTGTAAGGTATATTATATCTTCAATCTTAACGTTTTTTGACTTTTGGCCCATTTAAAATCTGAATAGGTACCGCCCGTGTATAGTTGCACCAGGTTCGAATTTTCCGGTTGTCAGGAGAGATGAGGATCTGACGGCGAAGGCGTTGTTCTTCCATTGTATGAAATGGGACTAATTCCTAGTTTCACTAAGAAATCTGAGAAACCTGATTTTTTAAGATGGTAAGCTTGCCATTGTCTTATGATATATGTTATGCCTTGAAATTAACCAAATATTTTACAAATTGCATATTAGGGCTGGGATGTTTTGACTTGAAACCGGTGGTCTTTTTTAATCCAACAGCTAAGATTTGAAATAAAAATTGAATTAAGAGAGATGAGTGGTTGAGAACTTGTCTCATTGCAAGTCGAAAAATCCTGTTCCTTCGGAGTTATTGATTTCTTTGTTAGCCTATATTTATTTATGATCATTGTGTAAAGGTGGTCTATTCGACCTATGTATCAAATATAAGAGGGCTGTGTTAATATGAAGATTCTGATAGTCAAAATTATACTGTGTCATGGAACCTCACTAAATTCTTTTTCTCCTTTTATTGCATAAACTTTCAAAGTTTAGTGAGGTAGGTTCATTTATTTGCAGTTCAAGCACGATCTGAATCAGTATCTGAAAAGGTTCTTTTCGCGAGTCTGCTTCCTAAAAGCCGATGCTTAGGGCAGTAGAAGGGTGTGTGATTGTGTTTGACTTGTTGAAAATTAATCTGTGCCTCTGTGCATGATATATTTTGATCCTTTTAATTCTGTTGCAGCTTTTCTGGATGTGATTTAGTTGATTGTTGTGTTTTCAAATATTACCACTCGTGTGTCAAGATAAGATAACATTTTCAATGAGTCTTGACATATTTTCTTCTAAATATCGTCATATTAGGCGTACTTTTGCTGTTGAACATCTAAACTGATAGTGGGTTTTACTTAATGACCTTTGTAAATTCTTCGAATGTCCATGCTTTACTTGACCTCATGTATTCTTCAGATTCTATGAATGGAAAAAAGATGGCTCAAAAATCATGAAAGGTGTACATTAATGATAATATATAATTATAATGTTGAATTCTTTTAAACATAGAAGCTAATGATAATTATTAAAAAAAATCCGATTAATAATTTGTCTTTGATTTATGTTTTTGTTTACTCTATATATAGATTATAGATATTATTATGAAATAAAATGATGCAAGTATAGATTAGATGGTTATGCCGTCCTGCCAACTTGCTCATAAAATTCAGGAGTCTGTTGGAGTTTTTCAGAATCTTTTCTACCAAGAGAACCAGTCAACTAAAATTTTACGATCACCTTTGAATAAGTGACATATATGTATATTTTGAATTGAGTAGAAAAGTAGTATTGGCTATTAATGGAAAGAGGCATGTCTAAATTGGTTATTTATTAATTTAAATATTAGATGCACAAGAAAATTTGGTGAATGGTGATGAAGCAGGGAACATGTTTCTCTTCTCATAGGTGATGGGGATTTGGAGGCTTAGAGATTTGAGCTCTTGTGTTTTGACAAGCACCAAAAAAATATTGAGATTAGTGATCACCATTATATTATAATAACTTTTACATGGGTTAAACTAAATTACTCGATACACACCCAACTGTACTAATGATTCACGAGACAAGGTTAGTAGTCTTATTTTCGTTGAATCATATTTTATCTTAACTTAATATCCTATTAATTAGAAACATTCTGGACATGGATCAGAGAATTAAGAAACGCTTGTTTCTTATCAAACAAAAGGGTTAACTTGTTTTTTTCTAACTAGATAATGGTTTAATGACACTTTTTTACCTAGTAACTTTTAAAATATCATTTTACTAACTAAATTTATATTCCGACAATGAATAGAAAACAATCTCGATCTAGACTGTTGTAACTTTTGAAGAATGGAGACAGTTGAGTCTTTTGATGGTGGAATATTGGACTTTGGTGGTTGGTATTGATCGAAATTTGACTTGAGAGGAACAGCTGAATAAACCCTAATTAGTCAATTATCGACGATTAGTGGCGTCGGCAGGAGTAAGGTTTGAGAGATTTTAGTGAGTGATGATTAGAAAAAATAATAGTGGTGGTGTGAGATTGCAACTTTGTCGGAATCAGAAATAAAATATAAATTTAGATAATAAAGTGGTATTTGAAAAGTCGGTGGTGAAAAAGTATTATTAAACCATTATTTAGGTGGGAAAAAGTCGTTATCAAAAACAAAATCCAACTTTGAACCATTACTTTTGTTGAAGCTTGATTTTGGACGCCAACGACTCGCACGTGAGAAACGCTGAGCTGACTCAGGAGACACACGTGATGGATCTATGAGATTTGAATATGAAGCTGAGATTATATATTTTGCAGAAAAATAAATAAAAGATTGACAAGAGGGGGTTTTTATAGTGCTTCGAATTCTCAACAAGCGACTCCTACATCCACTGTTATTTTATTGCTCACTGACTATTTCTATGATTTTGCCCGTAAAGCATACAAAAATGAAGAAATACAGTGTTTACAGAGAGAGAATGAAATGAAGCTCAACTCTCAGCCCAACCCCTTTCTTCGGAAAGAGGAGTGGCTATTTATACACATTTGCACTTAATGTAATGAGTGTTTTGTAAGTTACCTTGACACATGGAAGACTCTCGTCCATTCATTTCTTGAAAGGAGATATGGTTGGTGAGAATATCTTTGGAGACATGGGCTTGGCAGCTGGTACAAGAAGAAATTAAATGAGTTGACAGAGGTGTGACTTTTTAGGCATAACAGAAGCCCCCCAGTTTTTGGAGTGCGTGATCGCGCTTCAGAAACTAAGGTCTTTGATCTGAATAGCTGCAGTCTCGAACTGAAGAGCTTGAACTATTCCTGTCGTGATTGAGTGCTGAGAGCTAGGAGCTGATCGCGATCTGTTAGGAAAACGACCTAAAATCTGTTAGGAGCTCGACCTGAACGAGCATGACCTGAGCACATAATTAGCACGACTTGGGCTCGACTTGAGCACATAACGAGCACGACCTAAGCACATAACGAGCACGACTTGGGCTCGACTTGAGCACATAACGAGCATGACCTGTGCTCGACTTGAACGAGCACGACCTGGGCTCAACTTGAACGCATAACGAGCACGACCTGGGCTTAACCTGAACGAGCACGACTTGGGCTCGACCTGAGCATATAACGAGCATGACCTGAGGGTGCGATGAGCGATCTGGCCACGTGATCTGAACGGTCTTGAACGTGCGATTTGAGCGTGCGATCAGCGATCTGACCACGCAATTGGAAAATTCTGACATGTGCGATCTGCGATCTGGCTACGCGATCGGAGAACTCTGACACGTGCGATCTGCAATCTGGCCATGTGATCGGAGAACTCTGACACGTGCGATCTGCGATTTGGCCACGCGATCGAAGCTCTAATGCGTGCGATTGGCGATCTGGCCACGCGATTGGAGAGCTGATTCGTGCGATCTACGATCTGGCCACATGATCGGAGAACTCGGACGCGTGCGATCTATGATTTGTCCACACAATCGGAGAACTTGGACGCAGGGTTGAGAATCGGACCTGCATGGGCCACCAAACTGTTGACGCTTGATTTTGGACGCCAACGACTCGCACGTAGGAAACGCTAAGCTGACTCAAGAGACACACGTGATGGATCTATGAGATTTGAATATGGAGCTGAGATTATATATTTTGCAGAAAAATAAATAAAAGATTGGCAAGAGGGGGTTTTTATAGTGGTTCGGATGCTCAACAAGCGACTCTTATATCCACTGTTATTTTATTGCTCACTGACTATTTCTATGATTTTGCTCGTAAGACATACAAAGATGAAAAAATACAGTGTTTATAGAGAGAGAATGAAATGAAGCTTAACTCTCAGCCCAGCCCCCTTCTTCGGAAAGAGGAGTGCCCATTTATACACCTTTGTACTCAATGTAATGAGTGTTTTGCAAGTTATCTTGACACATGGAAGACTCTCGTCTATTCATTTCTTGAAATGAGATATGGTTGGTGAGAATATCTTTGAAGATATGGGCTTGATAACTAGTACAAGAAGAAATTAAATAAGCTGACAGAGACGTGACTTTTTACGCATAACAACTTTGTTTACTCAATTTCTGAATTGTCACATTCTGCACCACCAATTCATACATGAACTCACTGATTATGAAAAAAGTCAAAAACATAAAAAAGAACACGAATATTCTGGTGACATAAACTCTTATCAAAATTATCAATTAGTAACGAAAAGCCAAAAATTAGGTTGGGGTTACACAATTATCAGAGATGGTTAATGCTTGCTATAAGTTTCTACTAATTAAAACCGAGGGAAATACTCAAATCTGTTGAAGATGTAAACCTAAACCTAAACCTACCTCGGGATAATTGAATTCTTATTTTAATTTTTGGAGTTGGGGCTAGAATATGGAAGCATGCAATGTTGATTGCTATGGAATTCTTGTCGCATTGACTTTCAACTGTTCCTTACTTAATAAAAGATACTGCAACACATAAGCAAGGTACTTGTCCTTAATAATGCTATAATTAATTGAATTCCATCTCCATGCTGCTGTGCAGCACTTATTAATATGGATATATTTACAGACCGTATTTCCCTGGATTTGCAGTGGGTCAATGTCTTCATCCAACATGGTTTATTGTTACGGATGTCTCAGAGATATAATAATTTTCACTGCGTAAATTGCATATTTGAAAGAGAATTAAAATACCCAGCCTTTCAGAAACTTTAAACTGGTAAAAGATTATTGATTTATTTTTTTTATGGCTGCTGCTAATCAGCAAAAGCCTTCAATCATATTCATAATAACAAAGCTGAAAAAGGGAAAGAGAAAAAAATTGCTTCTCCTAATAATTCAATCAAGGCACTTACATGCATAGATTTATTGTAATCTTATTTCACAGCACATTAAAGGGCAAAAAATGAACTGAATGATACAAGATCACTGAATTGAAATATTGACAAAATCTAATATCTATTTGTTTCTTTGCAGAATGAAACCTCCCTATTTCCAGGTAAAACAAGCACTGAAACAATGCATAAATTGAGGCAATATTTACTCATTTGTCCTAGATCGAGGCGTACAGCTGCTTGGATTTGAATTATGTTTCTTCAAGAAGGCTTCTAGGTTCTGAAAACATTTAAGTGGCCCAACCTGTGTATACAGTACCCCTGGATAAGCTTCATGTTTATACGCCAAAATAAAACATGCAAAAAGATGCGTAAATTAATCAAGACAATTTTCCTGCTCAATTGAAAAGCATGATGACCCAGGATTTCAAACACCCATCTAGTGAATATTTCGAAAATTGGTGCCTCTTACATAACTTATCCAGGATCAAAATTATGTTTTCTAATATTCAGGAAAGAAATTTATATTGGAGAATCATAAGGTAAGAGGGACCCATTTGTCTTCATTTCTCACTCCCTTTATGCCCTACCTGTATACATCTCTAGAATTTACTATGGCCTTTAAATTGCCTCCCATTCTTGATTTTCAATCAAAAACAACTCAAACAAACATGGGATTGTCACATGAACTACCAATCTTATATATGCAGAAGTTCATCACTTATTCTCATTTGCCTCAATCAGTGTCAATAGACTGAGAATCAAATTAGAAAAGCTCGGTCCAAATTGCCAGCATGTCTTATTCTCCTGGCACCGCATTTGCAAATTACAGAGAACTGATTAGAGTAGAAGAGAGATTGGTGTTGAGATCTTGTGAAATGCAAGGCGTAGGGGCGCATTTGTTTAATGTAAAATGAATTGGGGCAAAATGACACGTAGACTAGTGTGAATCTCCCTTTGGAAAAGTCACCAAACAAAAACATTCCTGCAGTACATAATAAATGCTGGTATTACACAAAATAAACATAAGTCTTATCATACTTTTACCATTATGTTTGATGAAAGGCTAGAGGACAATACACACATATAGATAGAGCAAGCAAGAGAAAGAGAAAGCGAGAGAAATTGACACCTTCCAGTGCCTCTTATGAGGAAGCTGATTATATATGTAATCCAACCTCGTTATTATTTGCCTGAATGTTGGTCTCTTGAATGGCTTCTCACTCCAACATTCCTCAATTAACCTTCAGATGAAACATAAGATCAAGGTTTTTCAAAGTCAGAACCATCCCATCAGGAGAAAAAGAAATAGAACATGGTTGAAAATAATCTGTAATCAGACAATGTCATTTGACCATAGCACAATGAAACCAACAAATACAAATATCTAAGGACCCCTCTTAAGAGAATGTCATAGAAACGAATGGAAAACTAGAATGGCTAGATCTTAAGACTTCATGAAATGAGATTTTCAAATGTTATTAGCTTTGGAAATTCTTTGAACCTTGTTACTTAGAGGCAGAATGTATGCATGTATAGACCAACTGAAAAAGTACTTTTATCTCTTTTAAAATAACAGTTCAAGTCCAATAATGTCGAACTCCTGCCCTTGCATATGGATCCCTTTCCAACTTGGTATATCATTTTAGGATCCTGCCATTCATATGACTTCATTCTTTTCTTTTTTGCTGCATAAGAAACAGAACATACTTGTATATGATGTGAATGCCATGCTAGCTTGTATCTGAATGATGTGAATAGCAGAGAATCACAGGCAAGGCAGGATACAAGCACCCACAAAAGCTGAGGTGATTGTTTCGCAATATAAACTAGCATCAAAACCAGTAATATCCAGTAATGTCAATCTTATCCATAGACTTACTGTGATTGTATAAATGAAAAAGAAAAACAATATTATACCAGGACGTACTCTCTTAATCCATATGCATAACACTTTGGGGGAGCTCTGAATGGTGGGCGCTCATTTGCAACATATACTTTAGGAACTTCTTTTTCTTGCCTTGTGGAAAATGGTGGACAACCTTCAATCATCTAGAGTAACAGAGAGATGGCATATATTATTGCAACCCGTAAAACCATCAATATAGTGTACAAAATATCTAATCTAGACCATCTAAACCTCATGGAATTTATACTACAATAACCAAGTAGCTTAACATCAGAGAAATAAAAAGAAAAAAGTTATATAATCCACAGAGCCAACTTTGTGATTGTGAAGAAACAAGATTATTAAATGTTTTACATACCACACTTAATTACACTTCTATATTTATTCATAATGAACAACTTTGTGATCAGGACATGAAAAGCTGATATATGATGAATTGTGTAACTAGTTGTGCACATAAAATAAATGACGCATTTTAGGCCTAAAAGCTACACCACTGAAGCAAACCTAAACTTTTGAAAAATGCACTTTCATTCTAACCACTTTGAGTGATAGATCTCTTTATTCCAATGGACAGCAAAATAGATTGTGAAGATCAAACATCATTTGTAGTGTCAGCAATAAAAATTGATAAACAAACTAATCTCCTGGAAATGAAACCTCAAATCATAACTAAACTAGGTTGATCACTGAGAACTCAATTTTCATGGAAGCATCCATCCACTATTGGCCCTTGAATATCTATAATAACACTACAAGTGTCCTCAACTTTTGACATCTCTCATGTGATAATAATTAGGTAATAAATCAGTTGTGTGAACTAGAATTCCATATTTGCTACCACAGATAATCCAAAGTCATGGGTAATTGAGGTATGAATTAAAAAAAAAACTAGTAAATAAGTTGCCAAGAGCCAAAGACAGTATTCATGTCTACTAATTAAAATCCAAAATTAACAGCACCAGAGACAGAACCTCTTGTAAGATCAAAGCAAATGAGAACACGTCCACTTTAGTGTCATATTCTTCATTTTTGTAAACCTCTGGGGCCACATATCTACCTGCTCAGAAGAAATAGATTGCATGAGCCATTGCCATTAAAATTAATAAATATTCAATTTTATAATTTCCAAAAGAATTAAATTTGTATATTGCAAGGCCCTGCTTGGAAATCTCTTAATACAGCAACTCGTGCAGGAAATTTTGAGGGTGTATCCTTAATCTGTTCTGCAAAGAAGAGCAAGCCATTGAACAACCACCTAAAATTCCATTGTAAAAAACATGGCCCATTCTTTCGCAAGGCAAAAATCAAGGCTGAATCTGTATCATATGTAGCCTGCCAAGACTAGCATTGATCAACAAAAATGAGCATACAGGTTTAAACCGAAGCAGATAACTTACAGGAAGTTTCTTGGCATGTCACAGGTCTGTCTTCCTTAACTGTATTTGAAAATTTCAGTATCTTGCTAAATCCAAAGTCTGCAACTTTCAGATGCCCAGAATCATCCCGCAGTATATTTCTGTTATCTCAATCATGATGATTCAGAAATTTCAAGTAGTTTTAACCAATCAGGTGCTAATTATACATACTTCATAATACTTGAGAAGAAACTTGGTAACTGGCATATATATTTATATAAGAATGAAAACATACGAAGGTTCAAGATCTCGATGAATTATGGCTTCAGGTTTATGCTCATGCAAATAATTCATTCCCCTGCAAAATATGTCAGGAGCTTCAGTCAAGATTTAAGGGCAAATCAAATAATTCATATTATTGTGGGTTTTCTCGAATGCTTGATAGTAAAAATACGTGAAAATTGTTTTTGGGCCGAACGACATGTTCCTACCCAAACTTTGCCTTAAAGACAATCTAGTACCCAAAAATACCCACTTTTCGTCATATCTGTTAGTGAATTCCGTCTAGATCATGGAAAAGACTAAAACGCCCTTTTTCTCTCCATGCTTTATGCACCTCCTTCTCCAAGATTCATCTCTCTCTCTCTCATATCTTAATCAATCAATTCCCCTTCAAAATCACCAATCTTTTTTTGTTTTGTTTTTTTTTTTTTTAACACTTTACTCGGCAATGAAGAAGGTCGGTTATGTTGATGTGGATATTATAGTGGGGGAGACCGATTGGCCGTCAGCGGGTGACTTGAACCAACTGGATTCAAATTTACAGAACGCGCTGTGGTATATTGGGAACCTTTGTGAAGCACGTGAACTCTGGTGAAGGGACGCCTCTGATGCCTAGTCGGATTTTTGAGATTTACATTTTCGCTTTGTTCAATAAGAATCTGAAACCGACTATCTTGGAGCAGAATTTCGGGTTGTTTAAACCCAAATCTGATGCTTTAAACTGTCTATCAATCTATCTAAAATCTTCATTCATCATCTTTTGGTATTGGCGACGGCAGAGGTGGTGGCGGCGGTAGCTATGGCAGTGGCAGAATGATGGGTGGGGTTCGAAGGGTGTGGTTAGAAGAGTTTTGAGAGGAGATGGTGGTGGGGCTAGTGATAGTGAAGCCAATGGCTAAGGGCAAGCAGAGAAGTAGAGCACAGAAAAAAAAAATAGTGGAGATGGAGACAACATGTTTTCCTCTATTCAAAGTGTTAAAGAAAAAAAAAAAAAAGGTTGGTGATTTTGAAGGGGAATTGATTGATTAAAGATTTGAGAGAGAGAGAGAGAGAGAGAGAGAGAGTGGGATTTGGTGGGGGGAGATGCTCTAGGTTTGTTTTTAAGTTCATAAACAAAATTTGACCGCTTAATCAAAGGCATAATATGAATCACATATAAAAGTTAACAGAAATTAGCGATTCTTGAGATGAAATCTTGGAAAAGGAGATGTGTCTAAAGCGGGGGAGAAGAAAATGGAAGAAGAGAAGAGGAGGAAGAAAAAAAGGGTATTTTAGTCTTTTGCATAATTATAGATGGAATTCACTAACAAATATGGATGGAAAGTAAGTATTTGTCATTTCCAAACTTTTTGGGTACTACCATGTCGTTAAGGCAAAGTTTGGGTAGTAACAAGTCGTTCGGGCAATTGTTTTTTGGCTGTTTTAGAAAGGGGAGGATTACAGAGAGACTGTGGTGAAGAGAGAGAGAGAAATTTACCTTGTGAAATGTTGAGAATCAAACTTTTAATAAATTAATAAATGCACTACATAGTTTTTAATTTTGAATTTTTAATCTATCTGTTTTCAACCGTTGGATGTATCCAATGGCCTAATATAAGTAATTTGCAAAAGACAGCACTAAAGACTCACTAATTAATATTATATATATTAACTCCCCATTACTCCATATCCCACCAAAATGAGTAAAAGAGAAACAGAGACATACTGTTATAGAAAAATCAAACAAAAATAAAGCAGGTCGCAATCCCGCAAGCTTGGTCGTCATGTAAATTCCAGTCAACGCAGAATAATTTGCCTCATGCTGATTCTATGTAGTTCAAGAATTCTTTTCCAGAATCAGCCAAAAAGCCGTGACACACTAAGATTCAATTTTAAATGCAACAACTTACCATCTTTTTTAGTTTTTAGAGTTTCTTCAAGGGAAACAATTTCAGAAAGGTGTCATCAGCCCTATGATACTTTCTAGTTATCTGGTCCGCTTGTCAAACATAAAATCTCTCTAGCCCTAATGATATAGACATCTTTTCGTACCTATTTATTTACTTTCTTTACAATTTTCAGCCGATCAATACGATTGCACAACAAATCAGCGAATCAGCGGGTCAATAGAATCAACACAATTGTGCAACAAATGTACTGCCGATGGAACGGAATCCTAAAGGAATAAGGCAATAGCGGATATTGGATAATCAGCAGTCAAATATGCCAATTGTAACATATCGACTTATTTAATTTAAGAAATATATCTCCCACAAATTCCATATATTTCTATAATTTACTAAGCTTAATACTTGTTATTTGCTACTATAAAATTTTTAAAAGGAAAAAAACATTTTTTTAATTGCTGCACAAGGAAATTCCTTGAGAAACATTGGCGTTAACAAGTGCATCTTTGAATGACAAATATGGAAATGGAAATCAAGTGCTATGTTAGGATATAACATAAAAAGAAATAGAAAACTTGTATAAAATTCTATGTAGAATCAAATAAAAACCACCTCAAATTCCAATAAAACACTTTCCAGGTTGCAACTCTAACGATTATGCACAGCATCTTAAATCCTGCTTTAGTTCAGAATAGTGGTAAAACAAATATGCGGCACAAGCAACGTACCTGGCGATGTCAAGTGCAAACTTCACTGCCAGTGTGGGCTTCAATGCACCCTTTTTCTTCAAATATGCGCGAAGATCTCCCTGCCAAGAAAATGTTTACTCAGACAGCACAAAAGGGGAAGTGAAAACAATTCTGAGATTAACTTCTTGCACTCCTCTTTATAGTGAAGTGACACAAACTTCCTCATGTTGTAATATGTTTCCATTGTCATGATATGCTAATAAATGGAAAGATATTTTAGATAAAGTGAGGTTTTTTGGGTCAACTCAATATGAAGAGGAGAATAATAAGCCTCTGAATGAAGTTTTCATTTCCTTCACAAAAAAAGATATGAAGCTTCTTGTTTTTCACAGATTTCAGTGAATAACATTGGGCTTTTTGTTTTCACATGCGTCCTACAAAGTGTCAAGCAGGGGCTAGCATAATAATGTAACAACTAAACAGGCTGCTATGTGCTCATTCATATAGAGAAATGATCCGGAGACCAAATTTCAAATGTAAATATAATATAATATTTAATGTATACTAACCACCAAGAAGAAGCAAAGGAACTTGCTAACAGTAATTTGATGAGATTAGAATGAGCATAGAAAGTATAATCCAACAGTTTACAATTTGTTTATCATGTGGTCTTCTACAAATTTCAAGAGTTACATGAAAATTCCACATTTATTATACACTTCAAACATCAACATTGAACTACTAGACCTCACAATCTGGACATGACTCACAGCATAAAATTTTTTAAAAACATTTAGAAAAAAAAAAAAAAAAAAAATCACTTTTTAAGCATCAATGTTGAGGCCTAAAGATGTATAACATCTATTTCGGAATTTTATACAATGTTACTGGTAAGTTAATAGGTTCCAACACCATACCTCAACTACCAGTAACAGATATAAAATGCTAATCATTATGAATAATACTACACTTACAAATAAATTTTACAAAGATCTTCATATAAAGTGATATGGCAAAAAATGAATAGAAGAGTGAATTTAATGAGTTTGATTTTTTGTTTGACTCTTCCATTTATTTTTTGCCATCTCACTTTGTATGGAAATTTTTATAAGATTTCTTTGTAATGGAAATTTTTATAAGATTTCTTTGTAAGTATAGTATTATTGAATCATTATTAATCTTATCATATTGTTCTGTAGTATTTTACCACAATGAAAGGGAAATACCCACATGAGAATTGTGATAGAATAACAGATTATGCAATTTCAGTACCCCCAAGACAAAATGATGAAACATCACAAGATCACAGGATAATCATCAGCTTTATAAGAAGTAATCTTCTGGGATCTTGTGATTCCAAACTAAATTTAACCTTAGGTAGATATTCTGTGACAATCATCATCGGATTGCTTTGAGTTACAGCACCCAAAAACTGGACAACATTTGGATGACGTATTCTCTGAAGTAATGCAAGCTCATCTCTGAATGCCTTCCTGGAATACGAACAGACATTGAAACTCCCACAATGATAAGAATTATACAAGAAAATTAGTTCAAAAATTTAACCTAACACAAATGGTTAAAAGAAGTAAGTATACTAAAAAAAGTCAGAAACAGTCCAAGACCAACCCACACTTTATTCTCATCAGTGAGCACTTCCTCTCCAAGTGTCTTCACAGCAACCTGAATACCACGCCATGATGCCATGCGAAAGGTTCCCTATAACAAACAAATGTCAGAGAGGTGAAAAGTAATACTGTAAATGGAAATGGAAGACCATATGCTAAATATTTCCTTTGGATGACTCTAATCTTGTGCTGAAGGTCAAAGCTCAAGCAAAAATCAACGCTCCTTCCATTGCTCTCATTTGTAAACATTTCCTTTCTGACTTCTCCTATGACATTGTACTTAGAAAAGTCTTGAAAACTAAAATACGATGACAGTCTAACATAACCGTTATTACTACAATGTGGATACATGAGGGTTATTCTGTTAACGATTCTACATTAGATGATGTCCCCAGTCATAGTTGGAATTCCTAAGTTTTAAAGGTGCAATTTAACAAATTTATAATATAAATCATTATATGGAGAAAAAAGATAAATTCACTTGCTCATTAAAATAAGAGTTCACATGCTGAGCTATAGCCCAAAAATGTCATCATCAAAACGATAAACAAAACATGTACCAGCCATTTGGCTTTGCCCACCTCTCTTTTCCATTGTTAACAAACATTTTCAAATGCACATGAAAAGATACATTAGATTAACTTTTTATATTTCTTATAAGAAAATAGATATTAGAGTGCAAAATTTGTTTTGAAAGCAAGTTGGCAGGTTCCCTCTGCACTGACAAATTTATTTGTTTGTTCAAAACAAAATGTTACCATACATATTTCACTTATAGAGGAAGAGTGGGGAAAAAAATACTGGGTTTCCAAATTCGAAAAACAGCATCAAGCAAAAGAACCCAGGAAACTTTCAATTTCATATTAGTTTATCATTGTGGGCAAAAGAGAAATCTATATCCCTAGCCTAGCTAATGCAAAAGAACAAGCTATAATATCATCAGTAGCACAAATTTTGTGAATAGTAATTACATATTTATAAGTCAAAAACTGTTTTTTGAATTTGATACACTACTCGTTAAAAAATTACAGTAGTGGTAAGTTACAGGTTTGAAACTTAAAACTAAGAAAGCAGTATAGATAACAATAAGCAACAGCCAAGGAGAAAAGTTTATAAATACCTTTGTTATCTCAATGCTGTTGGAAAAATCAAGCTCTGCAGGATGAATTTCATACTCAGGGACTTCACGAGCATTTTGGACATGCATGGGAGCTATCTAAAATGACAGAGACAAATATCATACAATTAAATAAGTTAAGGACACCATCTTAAAAACAAAAATGACAAAGTGCCACAGGAACGGAAAACCGGGCGGGTAATACATACCGGAGGCTTTGCACCATGTTTCTCCAAAAGCTTGATTATGTCGTGGTTTTTGTAATATACTGCATCTGCAAGAGGCTGTTAAATAAACGGTGAACATTATCCTCATTGTTATGGTACTTATTTGTAAATTTTAGGTAATGATTACACAGAATTGCATAAGGCATACGACACATTAAGCAGGAATAACTGAACTGTCTCAATTTAGTTGATTTAATTGAGATATTGGTTTGGTTAATTCTACAAGTGATATACTTCTCTTTTGTAATTACACCTATGGTTAGTAACCATGGCCAGTCCTTTTACGTTTCGAATGAATTATCTGTGTCATAACCTAACAATGCAAGTTAATATAATGTTGTATTGTGAATTGGATTTAACTTAAATGATTGTAATGTGACAGCACCACAATAACGATAAAATTATATTGGTACATAACAACCACATTGCATTATATTAACAGGTGTGAATTAGTTAACAAATACATAAACGGACAAGCATGAATGAAATTACCGTGCTGCCCCAACGGTCTTTGGGATCGACTTCGGCTCCACGGCTGAGCAACAACTGAACAACATCGGTCTTCCCCTGGCAAGCCGCAACATGCAAAGCGGTGCGTTTATCGATGTCACGGTAATTGACATCGGTGCCGGAGTCCAATAGCTCGTTGATTCCCTCCAAATCTCCCTCATTGGCCATGTACATTAGCCGAACCCTCGGGTCTATCGCCGCCTCAGAGCCATCCGCATCCTGGGCTTGAACCGACTGGTCCGGCGCCAGAGAGGACTGCTTTCCTAAGACGAATCTAGCAGGCGATTTTGACTCCATTGGGGTACTTAGGCTCAATTGGAGAGTCTCAACATTATAACAAAAGGAGTTTAAATTTAAAGGAGAATAAAACAGCAATAATGGAAAAATAAATAAAGATAAGAACAACGATCGAGCTGGCGTGTGGTTGACAGGTTGTGGGGTTGGGGTAGTTTACCATAGACAACTTGTCAAAGACTGTGATGTCGTTACAGTTGATTGTTTTGAAATTTGCAAGAAATACCGGTAAAATAGAATAAAGAACGAGAAAGCTAGAGTTACAGCGCTTAGGTCGTAAGATATGTAACAGTTAATTCGGTGATTATGAATTTATGAGATAATGAACAGAAAAATCGTTGTTCTGATTTTGGATGTTATTAGTCGATTTTATATAGTTGACAAATGAATTTGTATACAAAATTAAATCAATCAATACTTATTGATACATATAATTGATTTGATAATTAAATAATTGTGTCACTCAAATTTATATACAAGAGTTTGTATATATAATTTCTATATGTAACAAAAGAAAATTATCAAGTAACCTTATAATACCTATAAAAATAATGATATTTATAATACTATTTATATAATTAATAGTAATTACTATTAGTTTTTTAAAATTACTGAAATCTTATATTACTTAACAACTAAACATGAAAATATAAATAATATAAAATGATATTACTTTGCCCCTAACCAAACACACCCTAACAATAATCTATCATAAAATCAGTAATTTAACCTTTTTAAACCCAGCAGATTTCTTTCTTCTAATCTCCACCAAATGCACTTCAAATTACAGTGAAAATTTCGATTGACCAATGGAGGGAGTTTGGGTTTTGTTAAAAATTTGAATGTGAGGAGACGAGAGTTAGGGTTGTTATATATCAAGGAGTATTATGATATTTGAAAATGTGGAAGGTTATATGTCATTTGTCAAGAAGTATTACGCTATTTGAAAATTTGGAAGGGATATTTGATAAGAGATTTTTTTTTTTTTTTTAGGCTAGATTTTAATTTAATCCCATAATTAAATATAGTAAAACCTCTCTATAGTCATAATAGTGAAACTAACTAATTTTATTATTATGAGAAAATTATAACTTAATAGATGTGTAGTTACAAAAATTGTTGTTTTGATTTCTTATTTTTATAATTCATGTTTTAATGGTACAGTATTAAAATTTCAATTCATGTTTTAGTAATATTAAAATTTTAATTCAATGCTTCAGTTACCTACTTTATAAACAGATAAAAGATGGTGTTTTGAAACCAACAAAGATAAATATCTTTGATGAAATTGTAAATGTAGTTGCTTCATAGTCAATTGATATGAAACCACAAACAATTGTCAATTGTTTTAAACATTGCAAAATTAGGAAACTTGATATCGATGAATTGCAAATTACTACAAAATTGAGTAATAAGATTCAACAACTTAACTACACTAATCAAATGGATATTAATGTCTTCATCAATCATCCCAATGAGCAACGTGTTATATATGTTTTAACTAAAGAAAAAACCATTGTTACAATTAAACAAGAAGAGAAAGGAAATAATCCCGAGGATGATAGTATGAAAATACAAAAAGTTTCGTGTCAAGAAACTCTAAACATGTTTAAGAAGCTATAATATTTTGGCTTCAATAAGAAGGTATTCATACTAGCGAGTCATTAGATACCCAAAAGTTAAAAGATGTGATAACAACTCTAAAACATAAATCATTATGTCAAACAACTTTAGATAAATATTTTATTTCATCATAAACATTTCATGTATGGTAAATATATATATTTTTACAATATACAAATAATTATTACTATGTGAAATCAATTTTTCTTAAGATAAGAATCAGAAGAATTATAACTTATTACAACATAAATTAACTCTTATTTATAACTATCTCAAATTGAAATTATAATTTTTGATGACTATGTCGAAGTTATTTTTATATAAAGTGGTTTTACATTATTAAGGCTATATTCATGTTCCAAAGAAATTTTAAAATATCTCAATAAGAAGTGTCTTTTTATTTATTTCTTAAATTTGTTGCATTCCTTCGAAAAATTCTTTCCCGTATTTTATTTTAGAAAGTAAACAAGGGTAAGACGGTTACATTAAGTATAGGGCAACGTGTCGAAACCAGTAACATTTTGATGGACTTCTAGAATAATTTCTGGTCGCTTCGGTTCCCGCCGTTACTGTGTTGTTGACTAAACAAAGACCGAAGAAAGTTGCAACAGAAGCCAAACAGACCGGAACATGTGTGGAAGAGCGCGTTGTACTCTGAGAGTCGACGATATCCCCAGGGCTTGTCACCGCACCAACGGCCCCGTCCGCACCGTTAACACGGACAGGTACTCGCAGTCTCCGTCTGTCAAGAGCGCCAACTACTTGTAAGTTACATTTATATCTTCAATCTTAACGTTTTTTTGACTTTTGGCCCATTTAAAATTCTGAATAGGTACCGCCCGTCGTATAATGTTGCACCAGGTTCGAATTTTCCGGTTGTCAGGAGAGATGATGGATCTGACGGCGAAGGTGTTGTTCTACATTGTATGAAATGGGGACTAATTCCTAGTTTCACTAAGAAATCTGAGAAACCTGATTTTTATAAGATGGTAATGCTTGCTCATACTTGTCTTATGATATACTTGTTATGCCTTGAAATTATAACCAAATATTTTACACATTGCATATTAGGGCTGGGATGTTTTGACTTGAAACCGTTGGTCTTTTTTAATCCAACAGCTAAGATTTGAAATAAAAAATTGAATTAAGAGAGATGAGTGGTTGAGAACTTGTCTCATTGCAAGTCGAAAAATCCTGTTCCTTCGGATTATTGATTTCTTTGTTAGCCTATATTTATTTATGATCATTGTGTAAAGGTGGTCTTATTCGACCTATGTATCAAATATAAGAGGGCTGTGTTAATTATGAAAGATTCTGATAGTCAAAATTATACTGTGTCATGGAACCTCACTAAACTTCTTTTTTCTCCTTTTATTTGCATAAACTTTCAAAGTTTAGTGAGGCTAGTTTCATCTTATTTGCAGTTCAATGCACGATCTGAATCAGTATCTGAAAAGGCTTCTTTTCGACGTCTGCTTCCTAAAAGCCGATGCTTAGTGGCAGTAGAAGGGTGTGTATTGTGTCTTGACTTGTTGATAAATTAATCTGTGCCCTCTGTTGCATGATTATATTTTTTATCCTTTTAATTCTGTTGCAGCTTTTCCTGGATGTGATTTAGTTGATTGTTTGATGTTTTTCAAATATATACCACTCGTGTGTTCAAGTATAAGATAACATTTTCCAATGATGTCTTGACATATTTTCTTCTAAATGTCTGTCATATTTAGGAGCTACTTTTGCTGGTTGTAACATTCTAAACTGATAGTGGTGTTTTACTTAATGACCTTTGTAATTCTTCGAATGTTCCATGCTTTACTTGACCTCAATGTATTCTTCAGATTCTATGAATGGAAAAAAGATGGCTCAAAAAAGCAACCTTACTACATTCACTTTAAAGATGGCAGGCCTCTTGTGTTTGCAGCTCTTTATGATTCTTGGGAAAGCTCTGAAGGTGAATCTCGCTTCTAATATATAGATCTCCAAGATGGCAAACATTGCATGACAATTCTTTTGTTGGATCGCCATTTTGTGCCTCATTTTTTTTTTATTGTCTGTTGTTAATTCTCAAATTGACAGCTGTCTGACTTCTTGTTATATTTATTCTGGTATAGACACTGAACTTTTGATACAATTTAATCAAGGAAAACTGCTATCATATAAAATTTATCGGTAAAAATATGATACGTTTGCTGTTAATCTCCACTTTCATAGGAACTCTCTTTTCTTTTTTGGGCTGTTATCAAACATTAAGATTTCAAATTTTCAGATAGAAAACACTTTTCTATCTTTCTTTTCTTTTTTGTCTCAGTTGAGAAGCTTGTTTTTTACTCTGTTCATTCTGCACAGTTATTTTAAGTGTTTGCTTTCTTGCAGGTGAGATATTTTACACTTTTACCATACTTACAACGTCTTCATCATCTGCTTTACAGTGGCTGCATGGTGAGTCATGCTTGTTTTGAATGACATTCATTTCCTGCGCTAGTGTCATACCAAATTTTATGTTTGCCTGTTGTTTTAATTAAGGAAACATTTGTTGAGTAGAAATGTTGTAATTTATTTGAAATGGCAACAACTTAAGCCAAATCTCTGCCACAGATTTGTGTTCTCTTGCTTTATAGATCATGTGATAAATGCTTTAATAATTTATTATATAGCAAAAGCAGACAATCAGACAACATATATTATGATGAAAGTGAAATATTTTCCTCTGATTTTGATCAGAATCAAGTCTGTTGTATTATGTATAACTTTTCCTTTAATCGTGTTAGAGAGGGAAATGTTAAGTTTTATATGCTGGACTCAATATTCTGGACTTTCTTTCCATGCCAATTTTTTGCCAAATTTGAAGCATTTGTAGACTATTCCGTTCGTCAGCATTCACGCACTAATTTATTCATTGATTGGTGATTGTAGACAGGATGCCTGTGATTTTGGGTGATAAGGGAGCAACAGACATATGGCTAAATGGTTCTTCATCTTCCAAATTTGATATGATGCTTAAACCATATGAAGATTCGGATTTGGTATGTTCTTTTATGAATATTGTAATGGCATGAGATATATATATATATATATATGTTTCCTGAACTCTAATACTCTGTTATCCCTAGGTTTGGTATCCGGTGACACCTGCAATGGGTAAGGCATCTTTTGATGGGCCAGAGTGCATTAAGGAGGTACGTATGGTTGGTTTTTCTATTACCGAATGTAATTTAATAGGATAACGTTTGTACCCAACTTAATCATGTCTATTATCAGACGTTTTAGTTAATTTCAATCTCCTTGTTTACATAATCACATTTAACATCTGGGATTAGATAGCAGCTTTAATTCAGATAGGTACGAAATCTAAACTCTGAACGGATGTCTTACTTCTACTGGCTGTGATATAGGCATTGAATTTGGGTATGTGGTTGTCACATGAATGAAGAGAAAACCTTTAGAACAAGTTTATTAGACTGGTCCCGTAAGAGAAATAGCAGATGTTGCATTATTTTATTATAAGACGACTGACCAACTGAAAAAAAAAAATCACTAGGAACTGATGATTTCTCTTCACGTAAGGAATTTTCATTAGATTTTGATTCTGGGTATACCCTAAAAGATAATTATATCACATTCTGCAGATACAGTTGAAGACAGAGGGGAAGAATCCTATCTCAAACTTTTTCTTGAAAAAGGAAAGCAAAAATGAAGGATGTTTAAACTTTTTGAATACAAATACAAGTTCGATTGACGAGTCTGTGAAGGCAAATCTGCCAAAAGGCTCGGAGGAAGAACCCAACAAGGAAATAAAAGAAGAACAAGAATTGAACCTAGGCTATAATTCATTTGATAGATCTGCAGAGACAATTCCGTCAAAAAGCCTGAAAGAGGCACTCGTTACTGCAGATGACATAGGAACACAGGCTTCTTCAGCGAAAGCAGAGCATGATTTAAAATCACTTGTTTCTATACTTCCTAATGAGGGTACCAAAAAGTGTAAAACCAAGCGAGACTATGAGCGGTTTCTAGCTGATTCAAAGCCACCTATAGGTAGAACTGATAAGTTGGGCGTTAGTCCTGTCAAGAGGAAGGGAAACCTTAAGGATGGTGATGATAAACAGCCGACACTGTTTTCCTACTTCGGGGAAAAATAGTTCCTCTGGTTTTGGATTCTGGCTATAAAAATGATGTCCACCTATGTAATTGACATTAACAGTTTATGTATGACTACAAAAATGCTGTCTACCTTTGTAATTGACATTTAACACTTTATGTAGAATCAGGTAGTGGTTTTGGACGGAACAATTATGGCTTGTCAGGGGAGTTATCTGCATGCAGGCATTTTTGGGCATGGCTTATGTGTGTCTAGTTCCTGCTGGGAGAACCGTTTGATTACAAAAACACTGTATTTTGTAAATATATTGCAGTGTAGACTATAGAGACTTTCATGATATTTGGTGACTAACAGCTTTGGTTAAACTCCATCTTGCCAATTTATCAGCCCAATTGTGTTTTTGCTTGTTTGATGAGAGAGGATTTTCGCAATAGTTTGTTTGCAACTCATGCTTGCACTGGTTAAGACAGCAGCAAGGTCAATTCATAGAGAATATCTCATTTTTTCTCATCTCAAACCTTAATGCCACTAATACAAGAATTTACATGTGATAATGTGAATAAGAGCACTATGTCAAGAGTTAAGAGTAAGCTGTGGTAAAGCTCTAGACTCTTGACAACACAACATATCCTCAGCACAGAAGATGTTCAGACATTGGCAGTAAGTCAAAATTACACATGAAACTAATGGAAATTTAAGAGTTGATTTTCATACAGTTCCCAATGTTATTAGTGACAAAAAGAACCTATGGAATATCATCATTTAGAACAATACAAAGAATAGTTCCTAGTTTAAAAAATTTGCAGCGAGATTTACTTTATTTTGTAAACTCAAACTATCCCACAATATAATTTTGCTGATAGAAGAATTGTTCCAACGAACAACATAATAATTCCTCAAACCCGCCGAAATTGTGAGATGTAATATCTCAAGGCAAGTAATGTTTTAGATCCACTAACTAGTGCTATCACAATCTTCCGGGAGCGGCTAGATAGCTCCTAAAAATAAGTAGAACTACTAATTTCAGCTTGAGCAAAGAACCAAATTACCATGACAAATCAATCAAAATATCATTCTATAACCCATCACGGATAAGATTACCAAAGTGCAGAAAACCAATTACACACACTTCATCATCCAATTAATGAACAACCACATGGTACCAGAGAGAAACTTCACCACAATGAAAATTTTAAAATTACATCCACTTCATTCCCTCGTCCTCACTCCATGCAATATCTTAAAAAGCTTGATTTCAATTAGGTGGCAAGACATTGAAACCCATGGCTTAAGACAACTTAAGCGAAGTTTCCAACTAAACAAAGAAACTAATTGCCTCAGTTTTGCTACACCAATATAAAAAAGCTTTGCAACATTGTTTTCAAGGAAATGAACCCAGCTGTCCCATAGAAGGTTAGAAAAAAACAGAGTTGCAGATTAACAATACATATTGCAAGACTTCCTTTCTATTAACTTAACCAATAACCGCACAATTCAAACCAAAACCCTAAAAACCTGGTGCGGGGAAGTTAGATTTAGAACTAAAGACCTATTGTAGTTGTACACGAGAACTCACAGTCTAAGCTAGCTAGTGCAAAACTTTAATTAATTAAATAAAACGCAGACCATGATCCAGAACAGACAAGCAAGAAATTTCACAAGTATGTTACAATGTCCAACGCAAAAAACCAAAAATCATTACATATCAATATTTGACTATCCAAAAATTTTAACTACCAATAAATCTCCACAAAAGAAAAAAAAAATAATCTCAGTCAACGAACATATAATTCAACAAGCTTACAAAATTTATATATCTCAACGAATTGAACAATATCAGAAAAACTACAATTAAGACTTATCCGAAAAAACATAAAAACCAAAAACAAAATATTATTCCTTACTTTAGTTCAGCATCACCCATTAATCCACCTCAATACATTCCTCTACTGCTATTCAGAATGGAGCCGAGCGTTCCCAAAACGGCAAAAGCTAACAACGGGCTAACATCCAATGTATCGAAAATCGGAGGAATTATATTCCGAAACAAATTCAAATAAGGATCACATAAGTCCCGAATCGCCGAAAGCGGTTGGCGGTCCCACGGAATGTTCGGGAACCAACTCAGCAAAACCCTAACCATCAAAACCCCACTGTATATATCTAGCCACTTGGCCAATCCGGCAGCGACAACTGTCAGCGGCGTGTTCAGGTACCCGGTAGGACGGTCACGAGTGGCCGCGAAAAACAAGGGGCCCGCCGCATGAACCACGTTATTTTGCAAAGATTGTAAAGAGAGGAGGTTCTGTGGGTTGGGTATTAGAGAGAGAGCAAAGTTTTGGATGGATTTGGCGAACAACCCGGATAGAGAGAATGTCAGAGACAAAATTGTGGTGACAGTACGCGTTGAGTCGGTGAGTAAGGGGGAATGAGTTGGGATTTGGGGAGTTTGAAGGGAAGCTTTGAGGGGTTTGTTTTTGAGGTGGAGAGAGAGGGGGGTGTAGCGGTGAGAGTGGTGGTTAGTGTTAGGATTTGAAAGGAAAAGTGGGGCTCGGTGGAAGAGGAGAGAAGTCGCCATCGTTGTACCGGTAGAGTTACCTTGGGTGTCACAAGGAACTGGGTGGAGGAGATGCCGAGAAGAAAGGTTTTGCTTTTGAGCTTAACCTTGAACCTCTGGGAATCTGTTGGATTTTATTTAAGGCTTCAGTTATGGCCCAATAGCCACCTCATGGCCCAAACCCAAGTTTAAGTTGTAGACTACCACTTGGTTCCCGTCCTCTTCTTGCTAACTGTTAAGTTGATAAAATTTTTGTATTTTATTTAAAAAAATTTATATGTTCATCAGCGGTAACCATATCATAGAACTAGGATGATAATAGAAATTATGGTGGAGTAATAAAAAAAAATATATGTTATAACAGATATATCTGTATTGTGATTGTGGTGGTAAAACTACAATGAAAAACAAGTATTCTCCCCTCAATTGCTAAACCAAATGGTATCTCTGATATGACGATTGATATATATCCACTTCGGAGTCGGGATATATTGTATTTGTCAATCTCATCTCTTATGGGTTTATATCATATTTCATTTTGCATTATCCATCGTTAAACCCTTAAGTTGGATTCAGAAAGCATCCAGTTTGAATACTCCACTTGCTGTCGCCTTAGCCACATAGTTTGGACTTTGGAACTTCTTTTGATCCTACAGTTAAGTGCTCTTCATTATTGTGATCATGATTTTGACTTGAAACTAGTCTCATCCCAAGTGCCTAACTACCACAAAACTCTCCCTAATTTGCTTTCAGATAATGGTTTGTATTAACACGTTTTAGACCACAAAGCAGAACTCAAGATCATTCTTGTCCAACCCCATTACGATTTCAACAATTCACACTAAAAACTAAAACATAATCTGCCTTTATATTACATTCAACACCACTTTGAACATTTTACAAAGCAATAATTTGCCATCAAATTGGGAAGTATTGTTGTTCCCTTATCACATAATTCAACAAAAGAAAAGACAGCCGATTAAAAAGAAATTAAGGCTGTTAGTGATCAACACAATGGAAATATTTGTGGACGTAAGAAGTAAGGCAAATACAAATAATAAGCGTCTATCAGCCTTCCATTAGGTGTGATTTCCATGATAAATTTCTTCAACATTCTAAGAGGACCAAGCATGACCCCCCATTGAACCACCGGACGTGATCCAAGGAAGAACCCCCGCCGCTTGTTCCCTAGCCGGATGGTGCTGCCTCGCCGCCTCCTTGCCCGCCTGCGTGTGCCACGGCACCACCCTACTAACAGAGTGGAGTTTGAGAACATTGATATACTTAAACTCCCTCTTTTCAACATCTCTGTATCAAAGTGTTTGGGCAATTTCATTCTAAATTCTTATATAGTTGGCATAAAGGTGGATTATGATGTTAATCATGGTGGTGATAATGGCAAAAATTATACCCATTATGGTGCTTAGGGCCTGATGCTAGTGTCAAATAAAAAATTGAACTTCATTTAAATTTTTTAAGTTAGGTTTGTGGTGGTAATGATTGAAAGAGATGGGCTTCTTCTAAACTATAAGATGATAAAGTAGTTGGTGTGATGTATTGATCACAAAAGAATCCTTTCATGCCACATATTTGCACTATGAGTAGATGTGACTTTTTCTTTTTCTTAATATTTGATTCCTCTTCATCATCGCCTCTCCTCCATCTTTGTTGTTAAGGTGAATGAATGTTGGGTTTCCATGGCCTTTGTTTCCTGTGTCTGTTGGGTTGCAGAGTGCAAAGGCTTATCTGTGTTGTATTTTTTATATGTGTTTGATGGTTTCGATATAAAGTTGGGAGTAGGACCAGCCAATAAAATTTGCAGAATCACTTCTAATGATATCGAAATATCAATTTGCATACATAATATTACTTGAAATCCTTTATATAAAGATATAATCATTTATTGGCAACTAAAATTGATTAAAATTTTAAGAACAAAGTAAACAGTAATATCGTTTGAGTTATGACGGGGCCATCGGACTTAGTTATATAACAATAATCTAAAAAAAAAATAGGGCTATCTGATATCCTAATACCATAAAATTTCCCTAATTAAATAAAATAATTTTCCAAGTTACATCAATTGGGATTGAGTATTACTCGTTAATTTTATCCTCTACGAGAGAATTCAAGAAAATAATCAAAACTTGTATAGTTAAGAAGGCACATATTACATGATAATTGTTGAATGAGAATTTAATAAGATTATATTCATTCATACATAAACTACAAAAATGAACTCTAATTTAATATGAGTGGAGTTATCATCGGAGAAGATATGCTCACAAGATCGTATCCAATAGAGATCTTCTACGGAAGAAAAAATAATTCAATAACATATAATTATAATTGTTTCAGATTTTACATTTAATTGTATAGATTTAAAGATCCTTTCTTTCTGTATATCCTCTGTACATGGAAATTTTCAAAAGAATACATCAAATTTTAGTAAATATATTTATCAAAATTACTAACAAAATCGTCTATCAATGTAAATAATAACACATGATATGATATGATATGATATGGACAATTATAACAAAATTAAATTATCCTTGGATTAAAGAGTGCTTATGATAAACGATATCAACATTAAACGTACTGGTGTCTTGAGAACCAAAAAGCCACGGGAATCATACTATTATATATAAATTGGCCTTCAAAAACGTAAAGAAATAAAGAAAATTGAATGATTCCCACCTAGAAGCTTTCGTAAGGCTACAAACAGATAGTTTTCTGCTTTTTTTATTCAGTTTCTAATGGAGAGAAATAGACTGATATAAAATTATAATAGGTGAGGTGACCTCTTCATAAAATACAGATAATCAAGATAACTCAAAATGGAAGATAACCATTAATATATTTCCAAATATAATTGCATATGAACTAGATAATGACTATATATTAAATAACCAACTTATGGGATATTTATCTGAGCTTATGAAAATTAGCTTATAAGCAACAAGTGATTTTAGTTTATATGCATTTGAAATTTTAAGCAATTATGTGTTTGGTTAAAATACTTAGTTAACGTGTTTGACAAAATGTGGCTTATAAGTACATTTTATTATAAAATGACTAAAAAATGTACTATATTAAACAAGAGTATACTATAGAATTTTAACAAGGATAATGTGGTAATATACTTGGTCTAAAAAAAAAAAAAATACCTCTTCCTAACTTATTAGTTTTTTTTTTTTGCTCAAAAGAGTTATAAAAAAACATATCAGCTTAATTTTAGAGCTTATAAACTAGTTTGACTAACTTATAAGCTTAGACAAACACCCCCTTAAATGATAAAATAGATTATTTTTTTTTCTTATAACAAAACAAACAATTCATCCACCCCTACTAAATTAAATTATGGATTTGATCTGATTGAATTTAAATCTTAGACTACATAAACATGAACTAATCTAATATACTAAAGATGGGATTTTGATTTCTGATATTAATATCATTGGGCTCTCCCAGTTACACTTGAGGGAAACCCATTAGGTTAATGACTAGTCTGATGAAGCTTACGTGGCTACCAATTTCTAAATTGTAATAACATAGTTTGTCTTGATGAAATTGAACAGGTGTTAGTTGATTTGACATATTGACTTAGTTTTTATTTTCAGTCCAAGTTGGTGGCAGATTATATATACCTTAAAATTAGATAAAAGGAAAAGTTGTTCTAAACTGGATAAGGCCAGAAGACGAAGCCAAAACATCAAATAATATTTTTTATGATATCACAAAAGCCATATCTCACATATGTTAAGAGAGATACGATTCAGCTAATAACACTGTATTAAAATCTGTGAATAAATGCCCGACACGGCCTTAACTACTAGTAGTCTACATCTCATCTCCATCACCGTCCCCATGCAATGAAAACAAAATTAAATTAGAACCCACTTCAAAATCAATATTCCATATTTGCCCAGGAGATCAAAAGAGACGAAACGAAATCATCACACACTATCGTGAGCGGCATTATTGTTTTCGTCTGATGAAGTTTTGCTGAGAGTAACAGGGTACTTAATGGCGTTAAGTTCGACCTTACGGAGAGCGGCTTTCCCCAAATCCACGCCACACATGTCAGAGAGCCTGACGAGATAGAGCAAAACATCAGAGAGCTCTTCCCCAAGATGTACTTTTTCCTCTTCTTTCCAATCAGGCAATCCTTTTGGTACCTCTCCTTTCCATTGGAATATCTCACTCAGCTCTCCCACTTCACCCACCTGTATGTTTGCCAATCATAAGGGTTAATCAATCATTACTGTTAATTTTCCATGTTTTGCGAGAAGTGAGACAAAAAAGATTATAAAAAAAAAAAAAAAAAGTAAAACCTTTAAAAAGTGGATTTCAAAGATTTTTGTAACATATAACAACACAAAGAGAGATTTGGTGAAATGAGTCTGGTTAAACAACTTCTTATAGAAATGGTTAAAAGGTTTAAACCCTAACTTGAGGCTTAAGCAAGTTGATGGAAAATCGAGAGAAGGAAAAAGAAGAAGCCCACTTAATATGATACCAACCAGACTTTGTTAATACAACTGGCGTTTGGTTGTATTCATGGGTCAAATCTTCAAAAAATATAAAAATCCAACCTTTAGAAAATGAAAGCTAAATACAATAATAACGTGACTGCTTATCATCCACCTCTCTACCATAGAATCAAGACTCTTAACAGAAATTAGGCAAAAACAATAAATACAGAAAAGGAGCATAATTTATAGGAGGATGTAGAGATGAAAGACGCATACCAGAGCCAAAAGGAGGTTTCTGGGGCTATGGAAGCGTTCCCAGTTGCGTTCTTTGGCAAACTCATCCATCTTCTTCTTGAGAAGATCAAGAGTGACACTTTCTCCATCTGGAACACCAGTCATGATTTCTTGACCAGCAACAAAAGGAGCAAGAAGGCAAGTAGAGAGAGAGAGAGAGAGAGAGAGAGTAAAACAGAAGCTATCAGAGCAAAGGTGGTTGTGTGCAATTTTCTTGGAAAAAGGCTGATGTGAATATAAAAAGAGCAGGAGAGAGAAAGTCGTGAAAAGACCGAAAAACAATAGGGTATGTTCTATGCTTCTATTGTGGGATTTGGAGAGGAGTAAATTCCTCGGTTGTATAAAATGTACATACATTTGCCACGTCACAGCCTACACGCTATTGCCAGTTAAATTACCTTACTTATCTCATACCTATTTTCACTAATTATGTTCTTTTCTTTTTAATATAGCTGTATACTATGAATTAAAACACTATTTAAGAAAGTTAAATTCATTTATTTATTACCAAGTATATATAAATATAATATTTATTTTTTATTCCTTATTTAATATTTATACCTAAAATGATTTTTACTAAACACGCCACGCCCGTACTAAAATTTTAAAACTAGTTTTGGATATCAATTACATATAAAATTTTCTGTTTCTTGTCTTTTTTGTCATTTAAGTAGGTTTTGTTGCAAACCCGTAAATATTTTGATACATGTTACAAAATAAAGTAAATAAAAAAGTTAAAGAATTTAATCAGAAAATTTGGCAGATTACAAGCGGTACCACCGTAGACATTCTGGGGTACATACCGTGTTGCCTGACTAGAGTCCCACGTGGCCATATTCGGTGGATTGTGGCCTGGAGTTTCCGTGAGCCTCGTTTCCTTGTAGCTGTAGGCGCGGCACCATAATCCATAAATTCCTTCTTCATCTTGACTCAGGGCTGGCTGTAGTTGGATTTCTTTGCAAACTGCATTCCCTTCTGTGCTCTTGTGACTCCTTGCCATTTCCATCTTTAGTTTTTATTCCCAGTAATTTTATTTTATACTATTATATAAATCACATTTTATATTAAATTCATAAAAAAAAATGTATATTAAAATTTAACAATAATATATGTTCAACCGTTGAAGTGCCATACTAATTACCGAGTTGGGCAGCCACCAATCAAATTTGATTAAAGGTGCTGAAATTAGATTAATAGTATTAGTATATAAAGAATGTTAAATATGATAACCTATATATATAATTTTTAAGAGTCTCACACATTTACACAATTTTTTAACCATGTGATCAGTATATTTCAAAATGCATGGATCATAGTCTAAAAATTGTGTAAACTGTGGTCTTTGTACGTTCTCCAACTTAAATATATATATATATATATATATTTTTATATATAATAGTTATGGGTGCGTTTGGTTTAGTATTTTGGATAGGATTTTAGGGATAGTATTGGGTTATTGGATATGGGAGTATTACGAGGTAAATTTTAAAAATTTGTAAAAAAGCCCTTAGGTTTACTAATTTAACTAAAGACCCTAACATATAAAATGACAAAAACACCCCCACCACCTGCAGTGTCAGATTTCGGCCACCACCGCCAGAATCTGGCTGAAAAATTTCGTTACGGCACAGACTTGTCGGATCTGTGCCGTAACACGTCGTTATGGCCTTTTCCGGCAAGATCCATAATGGATCTGGTCGGAAAAGGCCAGATCTACGGTCTGTTATGGCCGTCGACAGCCGGAAAAGGTCAAACGAGGGCCATCTTTGGCCGTCGTTTTCGGTCAACGACGGCCAGATTTGGCCTTTTCGGCAAGATGTGGGGATCTGGACGGAAAAGGCACAGCGGTGAACTTCCGGCCATTTATGGTCGGAGTTAGGCGTGTGTACAGATTCCGGCTACACCGACGGTGGGTGCCGGAACTGACAAGTTGGGGTGATGGGGGGGTTTTGTTAATTTTTAAATTTTTTTTCAGGGGGTATTTAGTGAAATTAATATCTTATGGGGTTAAAAGAATTAAAAAATAGGATAATATTTTTAGAATATTATACACAACGCTATTTAGAGTAGGTCTAGACCAGGGATAAAAATATTAAATCAAACATGTTTAACACTATATTATTATACTTTAACATAAGAAATTATTACAGCGGAATAAAAATAATCATGTTAAACTCTGTTTTAGCCATATAGCCTTAGGTGTATGATGGCTGGCGACCAATATCAAGTACAGAGCTGGCTTCTTAGATGTTAAATATAGAAAAACTGATCAACTTTCTGTGAAATTGACCTACCGACCACCGTAACTTAAGTCAACGATGAAATAATTATTATTTTACATCAGAAAGCATGGTTTTAAAATTCGGCCTGACTTGGCCAGTTCAATTGGTTGAACGGCCAGTTCAATTGGTTGAACCGGAACCAATGGTCAAACCACATTGATTCGATTAAAAAATCAGAAATATTAAATGATCCAGTTTAAATAGTAGTTGGATCATACTTTTTGTTACGAAGTATCAATTCAACCGGTTTAACCCAGTGATTGAACCGTTTATTTATTTATTTTTAAATGTTATACTGAGATTAGAATGACATCATCACATTAACATTAGCGTGATGCATCACGGTTTGACCCAGCGGTTGAATCAGTTCGATCAACCAACCTAATGACCCATTGACCTAATCAAGTCACTCCCCGAGTTGAGTTTTAAAACCTTGTTATAAAGTTACTAGTCTTGCTACTTCGGAAAATTTTATTTCAATTAAGTTTTGCTTAGAATAAAATATTAACTATAATTATTTTTGTGAATGTGAGTTTTGTTTGTATATTTGAACCGCTTATTCACATGTGACTACACCCTGCTAAATCTTACTAATTACAATCATTTTCCACTTAATTAATTTTTTTGTTAAAGCGTTTTTCTTGTTTTATATATATATAATGTTTTCATAAATAGTAAAATGACTTTTATTCATTATCATTTTCATAGTTTTAATGTACATTACTTACTTGATTTTCTTCGTTAAAAAAAAAAAAAAAAATGAGAGAGAGAGAGAAATAGACACATTGTCCCATAATTTAATGTCAATAATTTATAAATGTAATCTGATTCCTAAATTAATGGAGTAAATGCGTTCCCTCATTTGGCCAAGTTATTAACTCATTAAATAATACAATCGGAGGGCTGAGTGGAATCCAGCGATATCCTTGATTATTTACAAGAATGAATGAAATGAGGGAATTTTTTAGGACAATTAGACTTTCAAATATATGGAGAGGCAATAATGGTATTAATTTAGAATATAAGGTCAATATGATGACACCTAGTTTTTGCTTGCTAAATGATATGATTACTCTTCAAGTAGTATATAATTAAAACAACATAATTTAATTTTGGAAAAATGATTGGAAAAGGATGCTCCCGTTTCAAGTTAAAACCAAATCAAGTTGGTTGTTTATTTGTCTTCTTGCGGAACCTTGGTGTAATTTGATTTGACTTCTAAATTATATGGAAATATTTGGCACTTCCATCATGCTTCTTTCATATCTCGCGTAATCAATTACACAATTAATATTAAAATAATTACACCACAATTCATTTCCCTATTTTACCAAATACCTAGTGAATTATATTAAACAATTCAATTATTATACATATACAATTAGCAAACAAGAGACAAAAGGTTACCCATAGTTTTTTTCTTCACATGTATCTAGGGGTGTTCAAAAGGGGTTAATTAAACCGGTTAACTGCTTTTCTAAATCGAACCGGTTTTTCGGTTTAAGAAAATTCTCGAACTGAAACCGAACCGATTTGAGAGAAAAACCAGTTTTTTCGGTTAATTGAAAAACCGGTTAATCAGTTTTGAATTAGTTTTCCCCCTTGAAGAATAATAAAAAGTAAGCAAAGTGAAGAAGAACCATCCTCATTTTTGTATCAACACAAAGTAAGGAAAGAAGAATCCTAAACAACACCCGCATTGTTCAAGAAGCAAACATTCAAAACTAAATAAAACACAATCCAACCCCACATCAAATTCAACTGGCAGAAAGAAACAACAACACAAGTGAAATTAACTAGATTAGCGATTCAAAGAACAAGCCTACACCATATCTAAGACTGTAAGAAACAAAGCATAAAAGGGGCAATGTCAACATGTAAGAAAAAGTCAACATTCTGCGGATACTGAATCTACAAAACAGCCCTACAAATTTAATTAAGTTGAAGATCATGGATGGAGCTACTCCTGCTTACCGAAAAACTACAGAGAATGAAGCTTGTCCTGCTGCTAGAAGAACACAACGAAGATGCCATGACACGGTGACGGTGGAGAGTTTTGAGAACTGAGAGTGAGAAGGGATATCGGGAATTTGGGTTGGGATTTAGGTCGAGTGAATTTAGGGATTTAGTTTAAATTATTATTATTTTATTATATATATATAAACCGATTCAAAAAACCGGTTTTGATTTTTTTCCTGAACCGATAACCGAATTGAAAATCTGGTTTTTTGAATTTTTTGAACCGTAATCAAACTGTTTTTTCGATTCAATTACTTGTTTGGTTCGATTTTTATATTTTTTTGAACATACTTACATGTATCTTGCTTTACTTAAAAAGAACCATATCCCAAAGGAAAAAATGGAGATAAGATAAGATGCCTAACTGTACAATGTCCATGGTGTAGATTAATTCGTCAATTGTCTCACCAATCTGAGTCCTTTTAACTTTTAGGTTAAATGTTTGAGTAAATACGATTCGGGGATTCCCAACGTTTTTGTTAAATTAATGCATCAATCTACAAATGCTAGTCCACATTCAGTTATTTATAAAATAAATAAATAAAGTATAATTTTCAGTTTTATACTTTATCTCAAGGGTTGTATTGTGGGTGCGTGTGGGGTAAAGACAGACAGTGAACATAAGGGCATTGAATCCTCGTCAACGATTTCTGACAAATGCTGAAATGCATGACAACCCAACTTGTATATTGTGCAAAATGGTCCTCCCTAACTTTTTGGTTTATGTTTAATAATAATTTTTAGATGTATTAACGTGAGGTATTGAGTTTGAGTTTCTTCACTTAATTAAAAATGATAATACAACACACAGTTATGTATTGTTAGTCAAGTATGGTTTAATTTCCAAAAGAGTAAATAGGAGTGAGTACGGGACTACGGATAGCGGGTAGAACCGAAACTTACAGGTAAAACTAGAATCTAAGGGTAGAACCAGAACCATAACCTACTCA